GGGATGGGATGGGATGGGATGGGATGGGATGATGGGATGGGACTGACACAGAGCATCCCCTCCCAACCCACCCCACCACGGCACTCCCACCTGCCCTGCCAGCCCTGGGAAGCTCTCAGGATATTACAGAAACTATCCTGGCACCCCTGTTCCTTCTTACCCGTCCCCCCAGCCCAAAGCACCCTTCCAGCGCAGCCTTTTTTCTACCCTGATAGATTTATTGAAAAATTAAAAGCACAAGCTCTGTATATATAAATACGACATTGCCAGCGATTTACAAGGCCTCCGGTTGCTCTCTCTGCATCCCCACCCGTGGCCGGTGCCACCCACCTGGGGACGAGCACCCGAGGGAGCAGCGACCCCTGAGGGAGCAGCGACCCCCCAAAAATCCCTCCAGCCTGAGCCACGGGCCCACCTTGCTCCATGTGTGGCACTCAAATGACAGCGGGGACACCCAGACTCTGCCGTCCTCCCGCCCCGCTCCCAGCCTGGCCGAGGGGGAGAGGCTGTTCCCTACCCCAGAGAGGACAGGGATGGAGACTTTAAGGGATGTGCACTGATTTCTGCCCGTTCTCAGCCCGCCCTGCCCGGGCAGCGAGGGACATTTGGGGACAAGCCGGGGGTGTTTGCGCGTGCGGGGTGACACCTCGGTGCCATCCCGCGTCCCCATGCGAGCGCTCCGCCCAAACGACGCTGATGGAAAGCCCCGTCCCTAAAGGGCCACGTTGAACTCTGTGACCAAGAAATCGATGTAGTCCTTGTCCTTCAGCTTAAAGGCCTCGGCGATGATGCGGGCGGCTTCCCGGTGCTCTTTGCCCCGCAGTCCCGTGCCGTTCACCTCCAGGATGACGTGCCCCACCTTCAGCTTCCCGCAGTTGTGCGCTGAACCCCCTCGCTGCGGGAGAGAGAGGGGCTCAGCTCATGTTCTCACCACCCCTGGGTCATCCAGGGGGGAAAAAATGGGAAATATTTCATGTCCGGCATGATGGRTGGGAAATGTTTCACTTTTTGGAGAGAGGGGATGAATTTGGCTTCCCTCCTGCTCGCTCCTGGAGTGCAACACCGGCTGGGATGGCCAAGAATAACCCAGGCACAGTCAGCTCTGCTTTTTTTTTTTGCTGTAAATAATTTGAATTTTGCCCCAAGTAAACGGCAAACAGGGAGACAGCTCCAGTGGGCTCAGTTCCCTGGCTCTCCACATCCCACTCCTCCTCCCCAATCCTCTGTCTGGGAGTTTCCAGACATCTGGAGACAGCAGCCAAGCTTCCAGGGCTGCCCTGATCCCCTCTGAGATGTCTG